GGCTCAGGGAGGGGCGGGGCCATCTGCTGCGACCAGTTGGGGGTTTTAAATACTCTAGGAACAACAAGTAGGCCTGCAGTGTGAGAGCGAAGTGCTCTAATAGGGTGATATGGTACTACAAGGTCATTAAGATAAGATGGGGCCTGATTATTTAAGACCACACAAGCTTTTATGGATCATCTTCAAACTTCACAGCAATATTCTGGGTCTTGGGGGACATGAGTACCTAGGTTGGCTAAGTATTTCATCTGGACACTGACTAAACCGTATTGAGTATGTGGTATAAAAGGGCATGGAGAGAGCTGAACAACCACGTCTTATCTTTTCAATACGGTGTCTTACATCCCAGTGACACCATAACAAGCTGACACCAGCATGTTGTCATAAAACATCATAAAATGCACTGTGAGCTCTTTGGGAGTTTAGAAAATATAAAGATGAATCATTCATTTACCATTTAGCCTCCAAAACATTCCAGTTTTTGTGTCCTCGTCGCTCTTGCTGTGTTCATTTTTGGTGCTTCTGTACCGCCTGAGCTGACGGCTGTGCGTCTCTGGCTTTTTTCTCACATCCTCATTTTTTCCACATAATTTAATGCTATTCCTTTAACTGCTAGTTAAATGCACCTGGGAATAATTGAATGTATGACTGCTTGGTAGTAAAGACAGATGTTTATGTTTTCATGCAGCGCGCACGCTTACTGATAGCCTTAGGTTCACCATATTTACAGTACATCCTGTGATCACATCTCTGTTTCCTACAATACAGAGGAAATACTCCAGCATGACTGACCTCTGACTGTTTCCCATACAGACTCCCAAGTTGCTGTTAATTGTAAGCTGGCTACCATTACCATAAATTAATACGTATAAATAAAAAAATGAATTTAGTATATTTGTTCTTTGGACTCCAGGATAAAAGCTGTTTTGAAGGTAAAGATAACGTTGTTTGTGAGACACGCTGCTTCAAATGAAAATTTCTGCCTTTTGTCACAGAAACATTAGAGACTTACACACTTCATCAACCTGAGCCTGACTCACAGTACGGATGTTCAGCAAGCAGTGAGGATCTGCATAAAGAGTGCACTGAAGGTGATTATAGGAAATGTGTTCATGCTATAAACTAACTGTCAGCTTCTTTTTCCTCCTTTCTGTCTCTCCTGAGTCTCTCAGCCTTAAAAAAGCTCAAAGACGAGTACCAGTTAAAGCAGATATATGACAACGGCATGCGGTGTTTTGGCTGAGATCATTTTGCACTCCTGCGGTGCAGGTCACCGTGTCACATCAGAAATAACACAAGCTTGCAAGCTTCATTTTGTTGTCATCATTTGAAGCGCCACTTGAAATGGCAGTGTTTCTATTTTAGGCTTCAGACAGAGACGTTTTCTTTTGGTCCCAGGATGTGTTCAAAGGCAGCAGGATGGTGCTGTCGGAGCTTTGGGATGGAGGCAGAGGTGCTGCGCTTCATCAGATATGATCGCAGCAGACAGCACTGAAAGTTCAGAGTGAAAGGGCAGAAAGCTCTCTGTCTGACTGGACCGCTGCCTTTGTGGCGCCAGTTCAACGACACAGCGACCCTCGTCGTTTCTTTGAAACTCACATTGTGCTATTTTGTATTCTATGAACTGTTCAGCTTTACATTTCTGTTGCTACTGTCCTTTTTATATTCCAGTGTTGTGTTTTCAGAGACGAGACTTCCTGCTGCTGTTGCCTTAAAAATGTCTCTCTGGGATTATTTTCAAAGCAGGTGAAAAAATGAGACATTAAAACAAATTCTTTAATTTTCTTTGCTAGAAAACAGAAACTGTAACCATACCCCGAGGCTGGGGGGCGAGCCCCGAGCAGGTCGGATTCTGCAGCTGAAGGACGCTGGCCTTCCAGGGACCCTGTGTTTTTTTAACTGTCCAGTTCCTGATAAAGATCAGCAATCTGGCTGCTCTATTTTTAGTAAAGATATTACTGGCAAGGAGGGGATGGAGACTCCAGCTTTGTATGCTGCTTGCTTCCTGCATCATCAGGGATGGCTGTTCATCAGCAAGCACTGTCTGAACCCCACTGCTGTGCCCGACGCCTCAAATTATATGATGATCGGCCTCATTAGCAAAACATTAAAGGGTCTCAACTCCCCACATTCAGAACTCAGTCGCCTGTGTTTAATTGAAATGGGATAAGGCACATTGTGGAAAATGAGAAACGTTATGACAGAAAGAGTTCATGACCTGATCCGACCTCTGGTGGTGATCAACAAGAATTCCAGGCAAAGCCGACGCCCACTGTCCTAAAACCACATTCACTATATGGTGTACGGTACTGTGCCCCGCATTTCTTTTTGTTTGCCAGTCTTCTTGAGCCGTAGTTCTCAAATCTTTCAAAGTTTTCCTTTGGACATTGGCTGCTTTTTCACCCATTTTGAGTCCTTGTGCCGGAACATTTCAGAGGATTATTCTTTGTTTGGTTTTTGGTAGTTGAACTACTTAAAACTGACCTCCGAATAACTGAAATATAAAAAGACAGCTAACTCAAGAGATGAACCAGAGTTGTGTTTACAACATAAAAAGAACCTATTTTAAATTGGGCACCTTGGTTTTTAGCAGCCTGTTGCAAAAATATAATTTGCTCCCTTTTTTTTTTAAATCTATGCAAAATATCAAAGACTACATAATCTGACAGGCAAAAAACAGAAGTAGCAAAGTGTTTCCCAAACTGCTGCAATGTGTCCTAAAGAAAGTTGAGGAATGTAGAGGACAAAAATGAGTGTCAGGCCTAAAGAAGGGAGAAAATCTTGCAAAGCCCCTTGAGCTGAGAAATGATCGGTTGCATGAATTAAAACACTTTACAGTAAACACAGTTACTACTTCGCTCCTCCAGACACCTTGACTAGAAGCAGTGTGATTCTCTCCTCACAAGTTGTTCTCTACTTCTGGTCAACATGATTAACCCTTTGATTAGGATTGATAATTCAAGTCCACCTTAAAACTGGTGCATTATATTAAAATCTGTCATAATTCATTATTCTTAGGTCATCCAGCTATTTAAGTTGATTTTGAAGGTAACATAATCCTGAAATGAGGTTTGCAAACATTTGATAGTATACTATGGAATATCCTGTACTATGTAGAAGTAGAAGTAGTAAGTAATTAGTAGTAATTATACGATGAGTGGGGCCTATTTCAATTTTCCCTGAACAATATAAAGAAATGAAGGGTGAAACGTGTCTGATTGTCCTGTGGTGTTTGTGTCTGACTGATGTGCTACAGTGTGCTGAATGTTTTGCTGCTGTGGGGATCATTCACAGGGGTTCGTAAAGAGCTCTGTTGGAGCTCTGTTCGCTCCACTTCCTCCCCCTCTATCTGCCAGTGCAGTTAGAAGCTAACCAAGACCAAATGAGAGACCAACATCAGCCCCACTAAAATACTCTGTGTTTCATTCTGATCCCAGATTTTATAGATGTGATGAAGAGGGAGAGTAACTCGGTTACTCAGAGTTTCGCTGAACAGCCGTACGTCAGGGAATAATGATGCATGTAATTACAGACAGATCAGCTGCTGTGTCTACTTGTTGATTGAGCTGTGCTTGGATTGCTGAGAGATGTCAGTGTTTCCTGCTCGTGCACTCTGGGGAGACGGCGACGGGCCTTCTGGTTGGCAGCGTCTCAGCTGTAAAACCTGCTGGCTGAAAACCACGCAAATGCTGTTAAATGAGTTTCACTGAGGAAAAGGAAAGTTCTTGGTTTTGTCACTGACGTTTGCCACCTGATGCAAAAACATCACAAATAATTTGTGAATAAGCAACACTTTACCTAAAGTACATATACAGCTTATATTTGAACTGCTGCTATGACTTCTGTTCACACCATGAAGTACTTTATGGTACTTTTGTTACAAGTTGTACTACTGATGTTACCACTCCACGCATCTGAGACTCGATGGCAGCCTGAGTAAAGTGGGCTGCTGTGGTTAGGTCTCAGGCCTTTGAGGTTCCTTTTTTCAAAGGTTGAAGATGGGAACGGATACATCGGTCACACAGATACACAGCTGCAGTGGTAACCAGTTCTGTGTGTTGGTTTTGACATGGAAGGATGCTCAGACTGGTGAGTCTGAGACAGCTCTGCAGGGCCTCGTTTGCTTTCATCAATAAATAAAGAATACATCAAAAACATAACAGTAGTAAAGGAAAATGCTACACAGAGTTTTATATCAGAGTAAAGAAAACTACATGCAGAGTTGCACGATACTGGCTCATCTGCAACCACAGTTATCCCAGACGATTATAGAATATGAATTTTATATTATAACTCTATGTCACTGAATGTTGTCAAGTATGATTTGCACTTTAAAATGTATATTCAAAAAACAGAACCCAATTTTTATGACACCTATTAAGCTGATTGTGAAAGGAAGTTACTGCCTTCAGTTTTCTCGCTGATCACTTTGTTTCTTCGTCGGGATTGTGCAAAGATTTTCTTGTCCTTTGTAAAAAAAACATAAAAATGCTCCTTTGTGTGATATAAATGTGAAGTCTTTACTTTGGCTTTTCATTTACAAACATACTAAGTGCTGCTGTAAACAAACACTTTCTATGCAGGTTTTATTCAGTATCTGAGCCATAATTGTCTCTGTCCAGCTAGATTTTGTAATGCACCACCTGTACAATGCAGAGACAGCTGTTGTTGCTTCTTCTGCCACTGTTAACACAGTTTTGGTTTTGTGGTGGCAGAGGACGGATCAGCTCCTCCGTCCCAGCCTGCCCTTTACGCACTAAAGCTTTAATCGGTGCCCTGGTTACATGATTACTGTCTGTGTGTCGGCCCCTGTTATTCTCCTGTTTAGTTGAGCGTTATGACTAAACTAATACTTACTTTACTGTCACGTGTTTTCGCTACTGTGCGTGTGATGTGCTGTCAGGAGGACAGATGTCTTCTTTAAGGTCAGTATTTCATTCATCTGCACACATTTATAGGCAAACCTTTACAACAGGTGTCTCTGTGGTGTTGCCTCTGCATGAACACACATGAAGTCCTCGTAGATGGGAGTATTTAAACCATCACTCACAGCGAGCTGTGCGATCTGTGCTGAAACTGGAGCCTCCTGGAGGCTCTTTTTCTTTCCTGGGTGGAAATTTCCTCTTCAGATTCTTTGATCGAGTCCAAACCGTGACGGCACGGAAGACGGGCGCAGATCAACGTCCTGATTTTCTGAAGCAAAGAGTGAGGCGGTGCCACAATGGGTGACTTTAATCATGTGATAATATGTAAGGTGTCGACACGTTACACATTTTAAGTAACGAGCCCGACGATGACGAGCGGCTGTGCGTCTTGGACGCCGGAGACGCGCAACGGCATGAGGAGCTCAGTCTGTTTGGAGCCACCGGCTGAGATCATTCATCACTGCCAGCACTGACTGACCGGCCGACTGAACAGATAGCGGGATACAAACAGACTCTTTATGTCTCTGTGAAATATCCGTCAACAAAAGATGGATGTCCTCCTCGCCCCCCCCAAAAGATACGACAGCGACGGGTGAGTGAAATCGGAGATGCTGCGCACGGCGGCCAAAATCCCGGAGCTTTTGTGAACAGGGCTGTGGGTGTGTGCGCGTCAGGCTCGCTGTTAAACCTTCAGACTGCATTCGCCAACTTCCCCCGCTTTCATCAAGTCATGTCTGATACAGAGCGATGGGCAAGTTTGACGACAACGAGAGGATAATCCTCAACGTCGGGGGGACGAGGCACGAGACCTACAAAACCACCTTAAAGACGCTGCCGGGGACGCGACTGGCCCTGCTCGCCTCCGATTCGGACATCGACTCCGTGCTGGATCAGCTGCAACAAGTCCCCGGCTTCATCGAGTACAACGCGCGGACCAACGAGTACTTCTTCGACCGTCACCCGGGCGTCTTCGCCTACGTCCTCAACTACTACCGCACCGGCAAGCTTCACTGCCCGGCGGATGTGTGCGGACCGCTGTTCGAGGAGGAGCTCTCCTTTTGGGGCATCGATGAGACGGACGTGGAGCCCTGCTGTTGGATGACATACCGACAGCACCGGGACGCGGAGGAGGCTCTGGACGTGTTCGAGCTCAACGTGGACAACGGAGACGAGGACGACGAGATAGGGAAGAGACTCGGCATCGAGGACGTGGCTGCCGACGGGAATGTCAGCCTGTGGAGGAAGTGGCAGCCGGTAATCTGGAATCTGTTCGAGGACCCCTACTCATCCAGGGCGGCGAGGGTAAGAGCGCACCGCTGCGTCTGAGGCTCTCCAAAACACACAATGAGCTCCACTCTGCTAACTCTTTGCCTTTCATTCACAGAAACAAACAGCAGCTCACGCTGTTAAGGGTAGCTCCACAGTTTCACTGCATGAGTCAAATTCACAAGTTGGCAAGTTGTCTCGAAACTTGTCCACCTCCCCCAAAATGTGAGCGTTGCGCTCCTGAAGTGTTTTCTTTGCAACCAAAGCTTTACTGTGAATAGGAAGAACCCACTGCTTTATAGTGAGTCCTGCTGATTTCCAGATTTAATTATGCCACTTTAAAAATAAGCAGATTTTTCCAGTCATGATCAAACAAGGTGCCAACACCGTCAGGGTGGATATTCATAGCAGCAGTGTTGTATCCTGTATCTGTCTCTCAGTGCTTCCTGTTTATCGGCCCCAGCTTGGGAAATATCACTCCGTCACTGACACTATTTAGATCACAGCCAGCCTTTTCTAATAAACTGCATCTCAGCACTGCTCCAAAGAAATGTGTGGGACTTTCATCTTTTCTAAAATTAGAGCAGTGCCTCGTGCTGGGAATAATGGTGATGTCAACTTATAGGCCACATGTGGCATCTTCATCTTTCCTTTCTGCTCATCTTTTAGTTATTTTAGACTCGAGCACAATGTGAAATCAAAGGATTTAACCACCCGGCTCACGAGGCTTGTTGTTTACTGAATGTGCAACACCAAGATGTTAGAACCAACCCAGACAAGCACATGCTGCCCTCAGGTGTTATAAATCAATCAGCAAAAGTTTGGGAATAGTTCATTCAGTCTCTCTGCAGAAGTCCACATCTGGAACAGCTGCCTGTCTGCTTTCAGAGCAGGAGCTGTGGTAAGCTCGCCTCAGGCTGCTGGTATATTCTGGGGCAAATTGTTCCCTCATTGGCTGATTGATGTGCTGTAAGAGGGAATATGAGCAAGTTGTGATGTCATGTTGTGTAAATGGAAATGATGCCTCACAGTCTTCAGGATGTCGCAGACAGCATGCTGCTGCTGCACAGGTTTGAGTGATGTAGGTGATTTGAAGGGTAATTAAACACAAAGACAGCGACGCAGGAACAAAGCGCTCTGGCGAGGTTTGATCTAAGTGTCAGGGCAACGAACATCTGACCTGACATCACTGTTCAGGGTGTGGTTAGAGGTCAGGGGGCTGGAAGAGCTCCTGAAGTGCTCATAGCTGAGGCCACATTTATGATATATATACAAACCAGGGCTCAAATCTGTCACATAGAAATGAACGGCATCATGTTTCACTGTGCGTGGTTAAAGGAACGTGCCAGTATCACATTATTCTTCCTCCACTCGTACCTGAGTGACCTGGCATAATTTACAGTTCAAATGAAACCTTGTTTATGTCGTGCTGGGACTCTGTGCAGTCTCTCTGCTCATGCACTGTCTGACATTTTTAACTAACTGTCTTCTGATTCGCTGTCTCATAAATGTAAGGCAGATAGTACTATCATGAGAAGACTACATCAATCATATGGGATGTGTTTGACATCAGAGAGCCACAGATAGAGAAGAAAACGGTCTGAAACGAAGCTTTTACAGTAACAGTATATTGTTACTGTTACATGCATATATTAAGTATAGAAAAAGGCATGATAAATTAGGTCCACTTTGTTGTAATGGAGCTGTTTGTTGTAACCACAGTGAATGAAAAAGAAACATAAATAAAAAAACGCAGTGCTAAAACGAGGCTCCCACTGTGGACGTGAATCAGAGTTCTGCTTGACAGTATTGTGATATTTTGCAATGCCAGCGCCACTCCTCACACCTCCTTCATCAGCCTTTCAAAAAGAGCATTTTGTCTTGGTGTCCATTGTTGCTGCAGCTGCTGTGTCAAAGCTCTGATGCCAGCTTGTTTCTCTCTGCGACACCAGCGGCACTACTTGATCATCCATCTGTGGATTTAATACACACTGTGTATTGTTTCAACACACTGTGATCTTGATGTTAGTACAAGATTAATATTTCTCTTAGCATTATTTAAAATAAATACATTTTGAAAAAATACAGGCAGCGCAGTAAGCACAGCAACAAGAACGTCCTGGGTTTGAATCCCCACAGCTGTGAGTGGTTGTGTCTCAGCCTTGTGACAGGCTGGCCACCTGTCGCCTCGCAGTGCTAGCCGGGATAGGCTCCAGCACCCGCCACCCTGGAGAGGTTGGATGGACTTGAATATCTGTTAGCTGATATTGTTTTTATTTCTTTCTGAAGTTGGTTTTCCCACATTTGTAAGTTTTTACAGCATATATAATATCCAAAAGGTCAACAACCACTGGTCTTTAAACCGGGGACAAAATCATCTCAGAGAAGATCGGCCAATAGAAAGGTGGTGAAGGCTCCTGCAGTGCCACTTGGAAACTGAATATCCTCACCACGGCACGATTGTTGCATCCAGTACAGCCCTTTAGCTTTTTCACCCATAATCCTCGGAGGCTCTGAAGGCGTCCGTAAGTCAGGCACAAATGCTCCGCCCACAGGCTGATATTAGGCTAGATATAACCTACAGCTGAGGGAAAATATGCTTTTATCTTTTTTGGTGAAAACATGTAAGCACAAAGTAGATTTCTGTGCTTCAAGCATTTATCGTACCGCGTCTGTACAGAACAATAAGAGCTGCTGTTATATATTCACCACACATCCTGCTCATTGATAAATTTCCCCTCAGTATGTTTGAGCGTTTGCTTTTCCTTTCGTCAGTAAGCTGAATCAGGCTCTGCTTTCTTCACACAGCAGCTCGTCCATCTAAAAAGAGAACAGCAGAGTCCGTTTTCACCATTATATCATTCCTCCTCTTCAGCGTCTGCAGGACCACCATGAGGCTGATGTTTAAATAAAGAAAGCAGAGTTGTTGCCTCGCACAACAACTCATCAGACAAAGTTTGCCGTAACAGCAGGTGATAAGGCAAACATACATTTCTTAATTATGTTGTACTGATACGCTAATTCTATCATAATTCTGTGGTGAGATAAGAATTGTTCCAGTTCTGAAAACTGTGAAAAATTGCAGAAAAGCCAGAATATCAGTGTAAATTTGTTCACTTGTGGAATTGCTACGAGCCCATGTTCTCAGGTCAGAGGAGTCCTCAAAGATCAGCAGGAAATGTAAATGTCCTTTCACTCCTCATTTCAGAGTCTGACTCTATAATTTTACCAAAGTGGAGGTGCTGGGCAGGATGAGAGTGTGTGGGTGGGCAGGTGACCTCGCCCCAGATCGCTTGTCCTCCTCTTTCAGTCCATCAACAGACTTTGAGCGAGGATGACGGCAGGGAATTTTTCCTGTGTGTGAAAAGGCTGACGTTCCCACACAAATTTGAGCTTGGATTTATTTCACATCATTAATCTGTAAATGGAAACTCTAACTGATGGGGACAAAATTCAATCTTTCCAGCCTTTTGTTCCTCCAGACGTGGCTGCTAATTTCTTGGAAGTGTTTCTTGGCGATTACCCTGCTGACAGAGGAAGGAGCAGACGTGTAACAGAGGTAAATATTGAGTTAGTCTCCGCGTCGCTTTAGTAGCAGGACGGAGTAGATGGAGATGAATGCTCGTGTTTACAACACGCATACGTCTGTCTTCCTGTAGCAACACTAACCAACCGTATTTTCCTGCCACCAGTACAATAGAGAAGCATCTGCTTCTACGAGCGCCTTCAAACCTTTATTGTCTCCATGAGAATCACATTCCCTCACTGTGATGTGATAATTGCAGCCTTTTTCTTCTTGTTTAAAGCACTCCTGTAGCATTAAAGACCAGCTGGCGTATGGTTAACCTGATAATTCAACTCTTACACAAGTGTTCGGTGTGTGCCTGAAAGAACCCCCTCAGGGCATTAATCTACTCCCTGACAAGGTGTTAAGGAGAGAAGGAAGGGAAATGATCCTCCAAGGAAAGGAAGCATGTCGTTTGAGTTCACCTCCAGCCCTGACACCACAGCGGGGACAGCGTTAACAGTGAAGTGCTCTTTAACAGCAGGAAGATGAGACGCGACTGGATCCTGTTTGATTTGGTTTATGTCATTTAATAGAAACAAGAAAACTTTCATATGTTCTGTTTTCATTTTGATGGTTATCTCATAGCGCATGAAAAACATCAGATGTCAGCCTCGTGTACGACGATCCACCACAGACCAACAGGAATTTAATTATATATATGAAAAACAACTTTTCCTTAATTTTGTGAGAGTTACTGCTAACGATGAAGTTCCTCTCGTTGGACTGAAAGTCCCGGTGGTGTCTGTCAGACTCACTGTCACATTACACGTGTGCATTAACCTAACGCAAAATTTCAGCTCTTCTTACATTCATTTGGAGATTATTTATGTTACAGCTGTTACAGTTTTTAGTTAGGAAACCTGTAAACGTAACTTCAAGTCCCGCCACATTACTATTACTCTACACTGTGTCCTTACATATGCAGAGCTCCCCATCGTCAAAGCAGTGTTGTCAGGTACAGCCAGCTAGCATCAGCCCTGAGCTTCAGGCTCACTGTAATCAGCAGTGTGGGGCATTAGTCTGTGTATAAGGATCGTAATATTCAGGTCAGGTAATCACAATCTATTATGACATAAATCTAATCAAAGCTCATTTCCAGTGTAATTTTCAGTGATCCACCACTAAGAACCCAGCCTGCTGTACAGCATTGGTTACATATGGCTAATGCATCTGTATCGCAGGGTTAACAAGAAGTATAGTCCCTTTGCTAGCAATTGTTACAAACTGAGTAAACACAGAAAGAATGAGTGCATTTGACTCAACAGCCATCCAGCATTTTGGCTGTGCTGCGCTAAAACGAGTTTAGACAGCAGAGGAACGAGTTGTTTTCACCTGCAGGTGGTTATTTCTCAAAAAACTACAGTTAAAAGTCACTTGTTCCTTTGAACATAAAGATCTTCTAATGCAACTACACTGCAGTGAACAGGGTTTAAGAACCAAAGTTCTGACTCTGTAAGCATATACAGCA